CCCTAGAGACCTGAGCCCCGCAGAGGAAAATAAGTTTCTCTCCTATCAATACCACCAGCAGGGGCAGAAGTGATCACTTCTTCCTTACAGATCCATGCATATGGACAATGAAAGGCTACATAATTCCACAGAGTTCCCCAATGCAGGAAATGGCCTGAAATTGTAGTGGGAGGGCATAATCAGGTAACAGGAAGAAGCACTCCCAACACGGAAATCAGGAGCACTTGCACTTCACCTCGACTCTGGCTCCCTTCTGCCTTGCTATTTCTGGCCTTTTCTCACACCTCACGTAGGAGAACACAGAACCCAGCATAACACAGGAAAGACACCACTCATTTCACTGGTGCTGCCACAGAATTAAGTGAGATATTAAAGCATGCAGTAAGATAAAAAATGCTGAACAGCAAGGTACTATCAATCCTGGTATGGGAGTCCTCCCCAAAAAAAAAAAATTTAAAAAACACTCTATTTTTCTTAGTCACCTTCATACCCCAGGCCTAAACATGGTGGGTTATAAATGTCTGGGGCTCTGAGCATGAGCAGAACAGATGGCTTTAGTATGCTCACCTGGGTTCCACCTAGGCGAGCTTCCTCCCAGTTCCAGGCTCCATGTAGGGGGGCTGCCAGACATCGTTTGTCTGCAGCACAGCAAACTCCCACAGCACACAAGTGCCAGGCAAGGGATAGGCACTTTGGACCAAAACATGTGTGAGATCCACCCAGGAAGCCCATAACTGGGTAACGGTGGCACCTCCAATGTAGAGATGGTAACAAAGGGGCCTCCTCTTGATGCTATAAAACCTTAAGAAGCCAGCTGGCTCCTTTTTCAGGATCCCACAAGGACCTTGCACTAAGGCCTACTTAGAAGCAGAGCTGTGGATCTGTGCAGAGTGGAAACTGCTGGGGAGAGCAAGGAGGCAGGGCACAGTACTGGGTTTCCCTGACTTTGGCTCCTCGGAGGTGAGAGGGGTGCTTCCATCCCTTCAACCAGAGCAGCTCTTTTATGCACTAAGCTTTGCTCCATAAGAAGGGCTCCCTGGCTAAAAAAAAAAAAAAAAAAGTTGAAAAACCACTAAACAGTAAATCATCCTTTACAAAGATCCCAACGCTCTATTGTTTACTTGCACACCACGTCGCCTCTTTCCCCCAGAGGCTTTAGATGGCATCTTGCCATACCAAATGCTACCCTAATTTTTTTCTAAAATATTAGCTAAAATAAATTTAACTTCCCCTTGAAAATTATTTTTCTGAGCATTTCATGACCTTCTGCAAGGCTACAGACTTCTACATTGTGGTAAAATAGGGGACTGAAATCACTGCCCTTGGGGATAATATCCAAACTCTATTCTATCCCTTCCCCAGGGCTTGGGACCAGCTCCTAGAACTTCAGCCTTGTGAGGCCCCATCTTCTCCACCAAGCATGGAAAAGGGGAGGACCAATTAATGACAATTCATCCATCTGTTTCAGAGATTAAAGCTAGCTAACGCTGATTCAAACACATCCCAACAAAAACCTGAGTCTGCAATCTAACTTCTGTGTTTCTTTGATAAACTTCATCCTTCAAAGATAGAAAAATGGATAGACAAAAAGGTAAAAACAATTAAAAAGAAAAAAGATTACTCCAATGAGATTTCCCTCTGTTCTTATCCTCATGGCGACATCTGAGAGTCCTTCTTTGTATCTTCAAAAGCACCATTCCAGGAGAGGACTGGTTTTTCTCAGCAACTCAGAGATGATATAATTGGTGGGACAGAATGCAGGTTTGAGGGGTGTAAATGCTAGGAGTCGGAAACCCAAAATGGAGACAAAAGGGCCACCAATAAAATAATGTGCTGTGTGGCCAGCAGTTTATTCTCTGTATGTCATTTTCCTTCACTATAAAAAGTAAGGTTGAGTCGGCCAATATACATAGGAGCTGTTACCAGCAACAGCTTATAAAATCATTCCCTTAATAAGTGAGGCTTTTAACAGCCATATAAATGGGTCTCATCAGCCTCCAGTGTACAAGTTGCTAAAGGCAGTTTGTCAACCCGCTCAGTTCACTCTTAAAATAAAAGCAAGACATAGAAACGATGGCACTTGCAGCCTCCTGGCTCTGAATGTGTTAAATAAAACAGTGGGTCATAATTGAAAACTCCTGGTGCCCAATACTTTGAGCATTTTAACTACTCAAAGCCCAAGTTTCCTCTCTGGCAAAGAGTAATGGCTCGCAGCATAGTAATAATTAAATGTGATAACCCAGAGTGCCTGCCACAACAGTAGATGCCTAATAAATGCTGGTTCTCTTTCTTCTTCCGTGCTATGCCTTCTTCCTTGAGCTTCCTTGTCTAAAAGGCTGGCTTTCCACCCTCACCAACCGAGCCAGTCCAAGCCCAACACTTGTCACAAACTCCCAAAATTAACCCCCACGCACAAAAACTCACAAATTCATCACCCATCACGCAAGGGAACCAGCCACCAGCCTTCCCTCCTCATACAGCTCAGCACGGTCAGGGAGGGATCTGAGCCCCAGCAACCACTACTAGGATTTTCCCATGGTGCAATGCAACTTCCCCAACTTTTCCGGGCCCAGTTTCCAAAGAAACCTAGCAGGCATTGTGCATAATCAACCACAAGTCTGGGCGAGCAAACAGACTGAGCTATGGGCAGTAGAAGCTAAGAGAACCAAAAAGTGAAAAGACATCAGTGGTCCTGAAACCAAGTGGCAGGGTCAAAAATTCAGGAGTACCGGTCCTGGCCCAGGTTCCATTCTTCTAGACTGTACCACTGATTAAAGGTTATCAGGGGCTCTCAAAGGGCTGGTGTATGGTAAAGAGCCTTGGAAAAGGGACGGGCGGTCATCCTCCTGATGTCGCCCAGGTGCTGGACCTGGTTGGACCTGGTGGTCTCAGGAGGACCCAGCTGCAGTGGCACCTGGGAGAGTCAAGGCCTGCAGTGCCCGGCATTGTTCACCGCGACGGCGGGGCCGGAGGAGGAGGTGTGAAGCAGGGGTCCGCGCATTGCCCCCTCCCCAAGCGAGCTAAAAGAAAGAAAGCTGTCCCCGCGGCCAGCGCCAGGTAGAGGAGTGGCCCTCCCGAGTTCCCCCTCGCAGAGCAGGAGAGAGAAGTGGAAGGCAGGTCCGAGAGGCCGGGGCGAGGGTCCAACACTCACCCGCGCCCTCGGCGGGCTGCGGCGGCCCGACTACGCCGTTCAGGTAGAGAATGGGCAGCAGGTGAGGCTGTGTCTTCTCCAGCGCCGCCCGCAGGTCCTGGAAGTGGTCCCGCTCCTTCGCCAGGAGCAGCTTGAGCAGCAGCTCCGCCTTGGTGCCTCCCGCCTCCTCGTCAAGCTGCCGCCGCTCGCCAGGGCTCAGCGCTCCCGCGGCCTCGAGCAACCCGAGCACGGCCTCCACCTCCGTCATGGCCTGGGCCAGGCTCT